AACCGTGAATTTGGGGTATAAATCCAAAGAGGCTGGTCAGCCTAAATATATACAAGCGTTTTCGTTCATAAAACAAAGCGCAGGGCGCTCAGTGCGACGTCCAATCGTTTTTTAAACGTATCTAATGTGGGGGCACAAACTACTGAGTTTGGAAGGGCGTTCCAGGGCCCGCAGACCCGGAGGGAAAAATAGGTTCTCCGACAGTCTAGACGACTGTACTGTTGGCTCAGCTTTAAACTGTTACCGCGAAGGTTAGTGTTCGGGCTGAGCTTCAAGAGGTGGCGGCATACGTGACTGGGATCGCTCAATATCTGGTACACTAGTATGAGGTCTCCACGAAGTCGCCGGTACCGTCCGCTGAACACTCCGAGTATCTCCAGTCGTTCCTGGTAAGGAGTGTGGCGCAAGCCCTTGACGATTTTCGTTGCTCGGCGCTGTGGGGTCTCAAGCGCTGCAAGGTCACGTTTTAGCCAGGGTTGCCAGGCCTGGATTGCATATTCGACGTGAGGACGCACGTAGGCATTCAGCATCAAAGAGAAGATGGATGGATCCAAAATTCCGAATGCTCTTCGCAGGAGTCCAACGTGCTGGTTGCCCCTTTTAGAAGCGGAATCTGACTGTTTGGAACACCCGAGGTCTTCCTGTACCAGCACACCCAAGTCGCGTTCCTGAGTGGTGGTCTTCATATCGTGTGCCCCAAGCTTGTAAACGTGGACTTGTCGATGGCGGATATGAACAATGCGACATTTGTCCACATTAAACGGCAGGGCGTTTCTCACCGACCAATTCCAGGCCTCATTCAAGTCACGCTGTAGGACTTCATGGTCGTCCGATCGTTTTATCGCCCGCCAAACCTTGAGGTCGTCCGCGAAGAGTAAGAATTTCGACGTAATAACTCTTACTAGATCGTTATTGAAAAGCAGGAACAAACGAGGCCCAAGTACCGAACCCTGCGGTACGCCGCATCCCACTCGAATCGGATCGGAAAAGGATGCTCGAACTCTAACTACTAACTAGTGTCGGTTCACACATCATGTTACCTGTTGGCACATCTTTCATATGAGTAAACATATGCTATCTCTCTTACTATATTTACAGCCTAACTAGGCGCATTAGTTGTGTGTACTCCGAAACCGAAGCCATTTTCCTTTCGTTGATGTATATTGAGGCTGCGACCTAGTCGCAGCACCGTTATCCCGCAAAACCTAGTGCGCAATAAATGGTTTATGGTAATTTTATGGCATAAATCGCGGCTATCATTCTTCCGTTGCAGTTTTATTCAATTCTGTGCAAATGTGATATTGCAATTGTTTAAATGTGTCGGAAACCAAATACGCGGCACGAACAGCATTTTCGATTCCGTACGCCATGAAGTCTGATTTCCGGAGAAGCTTCTTTGGGCTTTCTTGTGACCGTTTTGATGAGTTTAATAGTTTGTTTTCAGACTTTATGCTGCTTCATTACGTCAATTTCGTATGCTCCAGCAGCAGAAAGTGTAACGTGTCACGGGGGAAGTACGACAGGGTCTTTTATCGATGTGTCCGCTGCGCACGTCGCAAGTCAACAAGTACAGGAAGGAGACTTGTTTAGTAGGATTTTGCTTCTATTATTATAAATATTTCAGCTCACGTGATACTAACTGCAAAGTTCGCGTTAACCTCAGAACGGGACCCAAGCTGAAAGTCACAACCTTCGATCTGTCTCACAAACACCCGGTTAACCGCTTTCTTTTTGAGCGACACCCTATCAAGCGCCGTCTGACAGATGATGAGCTCCTTCTGTGATGAGATTACCGCCGATCCCAGTACAAGTCTACAAACAGTACACCATCATATTTCACGTGCACTTGGTACAGGTGAGCTTCTTCCTTACCTTTCATCGATAGGTTGTCGAAAAGGAGCCGTCGAGTTCCCCTCAACCAGAGGTATTATGCAGAATGGGGTGCCAAAGTAAGTTATTATGTGTAATTTAAACACCCATTTTCACTTTATTGTAGCGCCGACATGAAGGCTAGCCCAGTAAAGAAAAATCTGAGAAGGAAAAACTTGTTCAGATAAAAACGCTCATTTAATTTCCCGACAGTAGGCTATACGTTCGCACTACTATTATATTTCAGCCGATGAATGCGACTTTGCGTAATGATACCCTGCATGGGACATGCGCGTCCAAGGGGCAAATATACTGAGCAACGCTGAACCATTACTCGCCGCTTTCTGTTAAATACAATGCACCGTTGTCATTGCGGTTTCTGAGCTCCTTTGGGATCAATGCATTCTTAACAATTAACTGGACTAGCGACACCTTGGATGCCAGTGTAATAGGACCCAGGTGGGTTTTTGTAGCACACGGCTACAAGGCTGGCGCTCGTTGTATATAGGCTCCATCAGTGGCACATTTGATGCCAATGTAATAGGACCCAAGTGGGTTGTAATAGCACACGGCTACAAGGCTCGCACTCGTTGTATATAGGCTCCATCAGTGGCACATTTGATGCCAATGTAATAGACACCGGCGGGTTGTAATAGCACAATGATCGTGCTCGTTGTATATAGTCTCAATCAATGGCACATTTGATGCCAATGTAATAGGACCCAAGTGGGTTGTGATAGCACACAGCTCTGAGGGTTTTGCTCGTTGTATATAGGCTTCATCAGCGACACATTTGGTGCCAATGTAATAGGACCCAAGTGGGTTGTAATAGCACACGGCTACAAGGCTCGCACTCGTTGTATATAGGCTCCATCAGTGGCACATTTGATGCCAATGTAATAGGACACCGTCGGGTTGTAATAGCACAATGATCGTGCTCGTTGTATATAGTCTCAATCAATGGCACATTTGATGCCAATGTAATAGGACCCAAGTGGGTTGTGATAGCACACAGCTCCGAGGGTTTTGCTCGTTGTATATAGGCTTCATCAGCGACACATTTGGTGCCAATGTAATAGGACCCAAGTGGGTTGTGATAGCACCCGGCTCTAAGGGTTGTGCTCATTGTATACAGGCTCCATCAGTGGCACGTTTATTGCCGAGGTTATTGAAACCAAGTGCGTCGTAATATCATTTGCCTCCGAGGATTGTGCTTGGAGTATAGAGGCTCCGACAGCAGCGCACTCGCGATATATGGTGAAATAGCATCAGATAAAGCATACTCTTATAATAAAAGTCATCCTAATTTAGTTTCGTTTGGACGAGGTTTGGTCATTCGCAATCATTTAGGGTTTGGCTTTATGGCTGTTGCATTGCGTAATTACAATAAGTAGGTAGTGTTCCGCTTCATGTTTACGATATTTTAATCATGAAACTTTCGTTTCTTACTTTCAGGGTGTTTGGAAAATATTCTGGGTGTCTAAAATGTCGTCCATAAGGTGTACATTCCGATTACTGAGGGCGGAAAATATAATCATTTTTGTCGTTGCAACACTCACACGACGGCGTACGCTTTCGCTGCTCGCGCGGATGGGATGCATATTCCGGCAACGTTACGCGGTAATCGATTACAGACTTATAAATACGTACTAGCACAGTGAGGCATTATTCGTCACTCGTAATGCTCTAAATATCACTTGCGCTGACAGAAAGTACGGTATAAAAGAAAGATTGTATGCACTAAAAAGCGCCGATAATGCTTTAGAACATTAGTTAACAACATCCATGGACATGTAAAAACATTTATCTCCATCATCTTTTGCTTTTTGGCGAGTGGCTAAAAGCACGCTTCAATAGAAGTGCTCGCTGTCCATATGTATGAATAAAATGATAATTCATAGGTACCATAATTCTGTATAATCTTCTTTTGATTTCACAACATCGCTTTTAAAGAAGCCACTTAGTTATGTCTGTTATGATGTATCAACTGCTACGAAACTCACAAACCCCTAGTGTTGCATATTTTATTATATTATTCATGCGTTTCACATAAAAATTCGGAGGCTAAAAGATCGGCACAATAGGAGACTAATTAAGTTGTCCAGGACGAGACTGGCAGCACACGGCAAGTATTTTTAACAAATGAGCTCAGAAATAGTAAGCATATATTTTATAACTTGTAGCGAATAATTTCTAATTTAGTTACCAATATTGCATTAGTGGTACGCTTGTTTAAGGCAAGTATAGCTGCATGCATTACACACTTGGAGGTTTCACCACCGATACGTAGACACATAGTAACGCGAGTTGAATATTGGCACTTTAGCAACACAGCGTGCATAGCTGATTGACTGCGCACTAGTTTGCATTCATTTGAAAACCGTTTTGCTGCACACCTAGTCTGTGTTCAGTTTTGCGTCTAAAAGCATCTACACAGGACGCCGAGAAGACGCATAAAAGATAACCCACGGACTATTAACTGACGCACGTGCCGGCAAACTTGTCCTAAAAATTAGCTTTTAGGGTATAACTGGCGGAACTCCAATGTTTTAACGGACATCCAAGCGTGCGAATTAGTTGAATACAGCATCCTTGAAAACAGGCGACCTAAATATGAATTTCAGCATTACAATGCACACACTATGTAATATTGGACATACGGGAGTGAATATTTTTTGTCTTATTAATTTGCCAAATTTGTAGCATTTCGTTAACCGTATTTACAAGCATTCGAATCGGCGGTAAGCTGTTGATAGCTTTATAGCATACTAAAACACCTTTTTGAAGGCATACCAGATTAGAATTGCAGAGCTTAGATGTCAATTATTTCACTCCAGTCTGACCAATCAACAAACGTCGCCATCTTCAAACTACCCTGCTATGTCTGCGACTACCGGGCAGCGTATAGTGAGACGGTCTTACTCCGCAAAGTAGCGAAACGCGGTAATTAAAAGCACCTGGTTACACAAACACAACAACAGCTGCCCAACCAGTTATCGCCCGTCAATCCGAGAAACAACATAGCCCGCTTGCATTCTTACCTGATGTAATAAGGAAGTAGGAAAACTACTGTCAACCAGAGATTCGTAACTAAAGCCTTCTTATTCAACGTTTTCTGAGTGCTTACTAACAAGCTCAAGTTCAAAGTTCACTGGAACGGTACGACCGTCACCCCTAGTTTCGACCATGTTGCAACCCAGAGTTCCAGTAAGACGACGTTAGATTTTGTGTAGAGATAGCTGTTTTACGCCTCCGGCCGACAGGTTTGGCAGTATGCAATGATGACTTTTCAGAAGCCGAGCTCAAAGAAATGCTTGCTTACAAACCGTTCAGGCGTGCAAAATCACCTTATCCAGCTGGACGTGCGAGACTTAGGAGCAATAAGACCAAGTTTGCTAGCAGTAGAATGAAAAAACCTTGTCTGTTGTCTTTTCTTTATTCGACCTTCTTAGCTCTCGTCTGGCGAATTCTTTACCTCCTCCGGTCAGTGCACAGCTGCTCCTTGCCAGATGCACAGCTGTCACTCGTCTGTGACAGCTAATTACCTGTAGTACAGCCCTCTCACGGGCTTCTCCATGCTCACGCTTCCCTGCTTTTATTAAATTAGCACCAGGGCATGATTTCATCATCTGCGCGTCGCCGCGTCTTCGCCTTTTATGCTCTGAAACATTTAACAACCATATCGTATTCTTACGCTTCATTCGTTCGCTGTCCTCTCTTCATAAAACGTTTCCTAATTCTCTTCTGTGACGCAAACATAATTCATGTGGCCCGCGCACAGTTACTCCATCGCCTCTCCCTTCTAAACGTCCATTTATCCATTGCTTGCTGAAACGTTTGTTACGCCTGCTCATGTAGGATTCCAGACATTTAACTAGCATTTTCCAGCCCAGTCGACCTTAATACTAAAACCTTAGCACCATAACCGGACTCAGTATCTGCGCGCATCTGACTCATACGCTGCGATGTCCTCAGCAGGCTTAATTCATGCATGCACTCCGACTGTTTGAGGTCCTTCCATATAAACTTTTCAGCTTTCTCTAGCACTCCTTCCAACTCTTCAAGTCGATGCTCAGCCGTTACTTAGCCTCTCTACTCTAGACGTTCTCATATCTCTTAATTGTAGTAACGTCTTCGACTTTTTCACCTGTAAGCGTCCAGCTACTTGACTACCTTTCCCAGGCTCTTTCCAAAGTAGTAATATCCCAGTGCCATAGCATGCATTGTGAACTTATACACCACCGTGGTTCAGCATTATATGATATGACTCCCTCAATCATTCTTCTTGACTGTTGTCCTTTCTTTATCCGACCTTCTTAGCTCTCGTCTGGCGACCCTCTTTAGCGCATCCGGTCAGTGCACAGCTGCTCCTTGCTAAATGCACAGCTGTCACTCGTCTATGACACATAATTAATAATAGTTTAGCATTCTCACTGGCTTCTTCCGGCTCAGTCTTCCCTAGTTTTATTCCTTTAGCTCCACAGCATTATCCTATCCTATGCGCATCGCCTATTTTTGCTCTAAACTAGTTAAGAGCCTTAACGCATGCCTAGGATTCTTTCGTTCGTTCTCGTTTCTTTTTGAAGCCTTTTTTGCTCTCTTCTGTCGTGCAGACATATCCATGTATTCAGCGCAAGCCGCTGTTTTGCCTCACCCTTCTTACTGTTCATTTATTCCTTACTTGATGTATTGTCTTAGACCTTATTGCATGCAATCATACAACTCTCGGACTAGCATTCGCTGGCACTATCCAGCTTGGTACTATTATGTTAGCACCCTAGCTGCTGAGGTTAGGCCTCACTGCTCCGATACTCTAAGCAACCTTACTCTACGCTTGCATTTCGGCTATTCCCTGCCCTTCCGTCAATGCATGTTTCTTAGCCTCTTAGTTCTTCCCTCCTCTCACTTGGTCAGCACGCCGACGCCCGTTAGCTTCACATTTCTAGATGTTCATTTCTCACCAATTTCTTAGCACCCTAGTATGACTTGTTTCTCTGCGCGACGCTACATATATATTTGTTCCGCCCCTGCGCTTTCTTTTAACAGATCTTTAATACTTCATTTCTATCGATCAATCCTTCCCCCCTATTAACCTGGATCCGCTTTTACAGCAAAGGTTTCGACACTTACCTTTGTAGGAGGTTAGCTCTCATAGGCTTTTCCTATTTCAATAGGCCATAGCACTATACTTCTAGTACCCTCGTGTCGTCTTTCTGCCTTGATCACCCGATAATTTTTACTCAGCGCTTGAGTCCTATCTATCCGCTGACTTACGATCTCTTTCGATATAGGCTGGCCACCAGCCGTCCATCCACCATTCTAACGCCGCTGGTCCCCGAACTCTGCTTCCTGTCTTTCCACGCAATAGTCGCACAATAGTAAACTGATACTGCGTTTCTGCTTAATGGCGCAAAGCTCTGTATTCCTTGTAGATAGTAGCAACCAACTTATAGGGCTACTGCTCTCGAAAAACATTCAAAGGCACTTTCAGCACAATCATTGCTGCACATTGTACAGCATTTGTCTCCACTCTAAATGTTATAACATAGGCGTTTAATAATGTTTGTATCCACGCCTGTTCGTTGCGGCCTTGGTTGTCTCTCACCTTCCCTTTACTTCGAGGTCCAGAACTTCTTGGGGATCTGGGATAGTACCGAGAAACCGCTTTTGTCAGGGACAGAACAACCAATAATGACCTATGAAGCACATGGCTGTACAAGAAACGGATACAACTGCACTCACTACCAGGACCGTTGTCTAGTGATGATAGCTGGACTCGAGAACATCACACATCTGAAAAGAATACATACTCCTGAAAAATGTAGACGCAAGAAACGGACGTTTCGCCCACCTAGATACCCACAAAGACGATTCTTCGTGAAGCCCATATCCTCGATTCGCCTCAGCCATTATAGCGGCCTTGCCCAAGATACCTGATCAAATAACAGAGGAAATTGAAGGTCAGCTGACTGCGAATATCTGAGTGTGAAATAAGTCGACTACCTGTTCTGCCAGTTTTATATTAGTGCACCGACAAATTTCTGACAGTGTTCCAGGACGCGGTATGTTTTCGCCTGGCAAGCGTTCTCCCTATAAAAAGCCACAAATGTCCGCTTAACAACACTGTGACGTGGCGGATGTGACTCGTCACCGAATAAAGTCACTGTCCTGAACTACTTACTGTCAAGTCGACCAGAAGCATTATTCAACATTGCCCTATCACATTCAATAATAAGTTACACCATGCCTATATGTGCCGTGTTCATTACACATGTGCTGCCCTGACTGTTTCCTTTATGCACGCTAGAATTCAACGTTTTGTCATTCATTGAAGACTCTATCCCGTGACTACGTACACATTTTCCGCAGACTGTACAACTTTCGGCTTAATGCCCACTGCACTCATAGCCACGTGTTGGTTGCGAAGCAATATTGCATGTAAATATTGATCATGTCTTGATTGGTGTGCCTCGACAAATTCGAGAATAAACTATTTATGTATCTATTTATTTTCACTTTACTGTAGCGTCCACATGGATGCTAGCTAAGTAAAGAAAACGCTGAGAAGGAAAAAACTTGTTCGGATAAAATCTCTCATTCAATTACCCGACAGTAGGCTATAAGTTCGCACTAATATTATATTTCAGCCGATGAATACGACTTTGTGTAGTGATACCCTGCATGGGACATGCGCGTCGAAGGCACGAATATACTGAACAAACGCTGAACCTTTACTCGCTGCTTTCTGTTAAATACAATGCACCGTTGTTATTGCGGTTTCTGAGCTCCTTTGAGATCAATGCATTTTTAAAAATTAACTGAACTAGCGACACCTCGGCTGCCAGTGTAATAGGACCCAGTTGGGTTTTTGTAGCACACGGCTACAAGGCTGGCGCTCGTTGTATATAGGCTCCATCAGTGGCACATTTGATGCCAATGTAATAGGACCCAAGTGGGTTGTGATAGCACACAGCTCCGAGGGTTTTGCTCGTTGTATATAGGCTTCATCAGCGACACATTTGGTGCCAATGTAATAGGACCCAAGTGGGTTGTAATAGCACACGGCTACAAGGCTCGCACTCGTTGTATATAGGTTCCATTAGGGGGACATTTTATGTCAACGTAATAGGACACCGTCGGGTTGTAATAGCACAATGATCGTGCTCGTTGTATATAGGCTTCATGAGCGACGCATTTGGTGCCAATGTAATAGGACCTAGGTGGGTTGTGATAGCACCCGGCTCTAAGGGTTGTGCTCATTGTATACAGGCTCCATCAGTGGCACGTTTATTGCCGAGGTTATTGAAACCAAGTGCGTCGTAATATCATTTGCCTCCGAGGATTGTGCTTGGAGTATAGAGGCTCCGACAGCAGCGCACTCGCGATATATGGTGAAATAGCATCAGATAAAGCGTACTGTTGTAAATAAAAGTCATCCTAATTTAGTTTCGTTTGGACGATGTTTGGTCATTCGCAATCATTTAGGGTTTGGCTTTATGGCTGTTGCATTGCGTAATTACAATAAGTAGGTAGTGTTTCGCTTATGTTTACGATATTTTAAACGTGAAAGTTTCGTTTCTTACTTTCAGGGTGTTTGGAAAATATTCTGGGTGGCTAAAATGTCGTCCATAAGGTGTACATTCCGATTACTGAGGGCGGAAAATATAATCATTTTTGTCGTTGCAACACTCACACGACGGCGTACGCTTTCGCTGCTCGCGCGGATGGGATGCATATTCCGGCAACGTTACGCGGTAATCGATTACAGACTTATAAATACGTACTAGCACAGTGAGGCATTATTCGTCACTCGTGGTGCTCTAAATATCACTTGCGCTGACAGAAAGTACGGTATAAAAGAAAGATTGTATGCACTAAAAAGCGCCGATAATGCTTTAGAACATTAGTTAACAACATCCATGGACATGTAAAAACATTTATCTCCATCATCTTTTGCTTTTTGGCGAGTGGCTAAAAGCACGCTTCAATAGAAGTGCTCGCTGTCCATATGTATGAATAAAATGATAATTCATAGGTACCATAATTCTGTATAATCTTCTTTTGATTTCACAACATCGCTTTTAAAGAAGCCACTTAGTTATGTCTGTTATGATGTATCAACTGCTACGAAACTCACAAACCCCTAGTGTTGCATATTTTATTATATTATTCATGCGTTTCACATAAA